TGTAATACTTCTTGTAAACTTGTGTACAATAAATCTTGTTAAATTTTATAATTGATTTGTGTCTTTTGTTGGCTACAATTTAAAGTTGATTTCTAGCCGTAACAATATGCATACCAAATATTATTGACCTACCATTAGTGGTTCCTCATAAACTGACCTAATCACAAACTAATACATGTAAACTAAGCAAAAGTTTTAAAGTCAATAGACCATGAATGAGGAGGCGTGGTTCAATAACCTTCATGGAAATGAGATTTGCCAATGCTAATACAACTGCATACCAAATATCATGGACCTATCACTAGTAGTTCCCCATAAACTGACCTAATCAATAACTTATACATGTAAACAAAGCAAAAGTTTCAAAGTCAATAGACCATGACTGAGGAGGCGGGGTCAAATAATCTCCATGGTAATGATGTGTGCCAGTACTACTACCACTACATACTTCTTTCTTAGCAGCTGATTCTTAGTCATATAAAAATTATCAGCACAAGTTCAAGGGAACAAAATCACAGAAATAAAGTTCCTCCAAAGTCCTAGTGATTAGAAGCATCATACACAATTGATTAATAATGATCACCCGAAAATGCAGCAGGAAATTTCAGCAAAAGTATTAACAACTGCATATCAATAATACAACTGCATACTAAATATCATTCACCCACCACTAGTGGTTCCCCATAAACTGACCTACTCACAAACTAATACATGTAAACTAAGCAAAAGTTTCAAAGTCAAAAGAGCATTACTGAGGGGGCGAGGTAAAAAAAAATCTCCATCGAAATGAGATGTGCCAGTGCTAATACAACTGCATACCAAATATCATTGACCTACCACAAGTGGTTCCCCATAAACTGACCTAATCTCAAACTAATACATTGTTGACGCCGCCGCCCACGGAAACAGCAAACCTATGTCTGGCTTTATGACTCCGTCAAGACGAGACATAAACCCAAAAAAATCAAATTTGCCCAGATTTTTAAACTCTGCTGTCATATTGCTGATGACAACCTTTGGCATTAATTAAACTCGATGAAATGTGAACTAGTACTGTAGGCATGAGAGCCCAAAGTCTTACAATGGGAAACAGACACTCATCAGCATTTACATATCTCCCAATGTTTTGTAGCAGGGGGAAAAATGAATGAATGGCTGTTTAATGTCCAGTGGCAAATTGAATGCATATTCGGGATGAGTAAATGATAATGTGATATGAATATAGACCAATGCTTTGAACTAGACAAACAAGCTAAGGCTGATTTTTAACATCCTAGTTTACAAGGTAACAGTCCCGAGGAAAACAAATCACTGTATCCCAGACACCTTATTTTATCTCAAAGCCATACAGTCTTTGCTCCTACTCATAAATGATGCATGCTTAGCAGAGAAGCAGCAAATACCAAATGAATGTTAAAGTAATGACATTGCCCAGCCCAGAATTGAAATCATGACCTCTAGCACTTAAGGAAGCAAGCAACCTCAAGACCACCAAGAGGATAAAAAGGCTGAAAGTCACAGATTGGTTTAAACAGCTGCATTATAAAGAAAAGAAAAATAAATGAAGATTGTGCCCATGAGACACAGATGCCCCCGCTTGAAAGTATTTGGCAAATTCTGCAATTTTTCAAGTTGCAAAGGGACATAACTCTAGAACGGCGAAAGTCACTCCATCTAAATTCGAACTTGATCTGAGTTTGGTGGTTATAAGAATTGTGTATAAGTTTCATAACATTTGGTTGAGAAAAAATAAAGTTAGATTGCTGAAACAGCAAATTTGCCAATTTTCCATTTATGAATAGACATAACTGGGGAACATTGACAGGTACTGTACTGCTACACAAATTCAAACTTGATCTGTGTTTGGCGGGAACAGAGACATATATGTCTCTGGCGGGAATAAGCATTGTGTATACGTTTCATAACAGTTGGTAAAGGCAAACTAAAGTTAGAGAACTTAAACTAATTTTAGGACGTACGTAAGGAAGGACATACAGACAAGGGTAAAACTTAATACCCCCCTCTGCCACAGCAGGGGCATGAAAATAAATTTCTAGTACTGTAGAGGTCATATTGCAATTGATAGAGTTACATGCACAATGTGGCTGTGAAATTGATTGTAAGAAAAATGCTGTGTGGGTGTGCAAGTTGCATCATTGTATTGAGACGACAAAAAGGTTATCTGAACAATATTGTCAAGTTCTGAATGGGAGTCAGATATTTCCCCATAAATATTTAGAACAAATTCAAGGACTCAATTGACAGTGCGGGAACGGAACTGTACAGGTTTTTTTTTTTTTATTTTTTGGTCATTCGGGAGACTCCGACATTCGAAAAGATAACAAGTTGCTAGATGGAAAGTTTGATGAACTCCAATGTTACTATATAACGTTTCTGCTATAAAACTTGATAATCAAAACATTTTATATGAAAATATGAACCAATCAAATAATAAAAACGATATATGCATCCAAACGTTTTCCTAAGAATGGTGGAGCTCCGAGTAAATCGATCAAAACTGTCACACAACAACGATAAAAAATTTCAAAAAACATTGAAAAACCAATATCGTTGCTACCAGAATTTTCACATGTACCTTTTCTGATATATAGTCTTACCTGTCTGAAAGTTTAAAAGCCATTGTCCCAGTAGAAATCCAAATATATTAATTATCTCAATGTCGGATATTTTAATTGATTGTACAATCGCTTATGAGTTTAATGTACAATCACTTGGACCTTTCCTGTACAATCACTTGGCCAACTTCAAAAGTTTGGTAAACAAAAATTGAAAGGATATATAGAAATTATCTTAGTTGGCTTGATTTGTTTGACTCGTAATTCAATGATTGAAAATATTTTAAATAAAAACTGGCTTAGCACTGATATTTTCGATTGCAGGTTAAATCAGAGACATATAATGTATTATATGTCTCTGGTTAAATGAATGACACAAATGTCATTAAAATTATTTTGAATCAAATTATTTTCATGATTTAGGTTTTAGTTTAAACATATTTTATTTGAAGGACATGTACATGAAACACAAAATATGATTGCAGTTATACACAGAGATTTGGAAACAATATTGTTCTTATATTAATCCTTCTCCCTGTCAAAAGAAAAAAAAGAAAATGACTGCTATTCAAATGGGGAAATAAATGTCATCAGGACATGTGTATCAAGGCTGTACCTATCAAATCCAAGATAAGGAGGAAGTCATTATAGGCCAAAAAGTGATTTGATATTTTAATGGAAAAGAAAAGTTTCTAATGTTTACTTTTCCGGGCATATGAATAATTATGACACTCAAGTAGGAAATGCTTACTGCTCATGATTTATTCTGCCACATTCATGAACAGATTTTACTTTCAATGAGATTTCTATGATATAAATGTTCATTAAAACTAATGCAATCTAATACAACATATGTCTGGCATGGGTTTTTTTTTTTCTTTCCTTTTTTTTTACGATTTTATAACAGTAATTTGGTCTTTTTATCAAATTTTGATTTAATCCTCAATTACACATTTGAGAGTGGTTGTCCTTGGTTCGTGTCTGTCATATTTATTTTTCGTAAATTGTTTTGTTATAAATTAGGCCATTAGTTTTTGCATTTTAATTGTTTCATATTTTTCATGTCGGGGCCTTTTATAGCCGACTATACAGTATGGTTGCCTATAATTGCTTACATCCACTTCATTTAAACTTTGGTGGATAGTCGTCTCACTGGCAATCATACCACATCTCCTTATTTCTATATTGAAGATAGAAATGAGCTTTGATAAAATGTTGTTCAAACTAAAAAACTGTGTGTTGTTCGTTCTTTGGATGTTAAAGTTATGGATATTGAAAAGTTCCTAGAGGGTGATACTGCTTAAGTGTTCAAGAGTTTTATTATGAAAAATTTCATGAAATTTAAGGATTTTGTGTTTTTTCTGTCTTTCAGAAAACAACTCACACCCTGATCTTTGATACAATTTTATTTTTATGGGAGTTTTGTACCACCAGTAGCTATAGCTTGTAATAAACAGATATATCATGTTTGTTGACATATATGTGTCTTTTCTTTGTTCTGTGAATAGCTACCACCATTCCACATTCGAATGCCTTTATTAAGTTAGAATATCCCGGCCTTCAGATGAATATTCTTTATATACTTATATAATTTTTTAAACTGTCGGTAAATAATAAATTAAGTAAACTTCAAAATATTCTTACCCTTCCGGAGCACCTAGTCACCTTTTTGGTTATTTGTTTTGTACGAGCATTATTTTTCTTATTAGTGATTTCTTTACATTTGTATTGTCCTTTTATTTTGTCTTGTATACTTATTGTTCAAATTTTGATTTTCTCTCTGATATAGACACTCTAAGCGTACCTTAAAAAAGTGCCTTTGATACAATCTTAATCGGCAAAATGACTGAATTTGTGTTCAATTTTATTTCAAATACCATAGATGAATATAATAGGACAGACAAGAAACAAACAATGAAATGCATATGCAAAGTAATTTATGAAGTTGGCCAAGTGTTTGTACAGTAAACTCGCAAGCGACTGTACAGCCAATTAAAATATCCGACATTGAGAAAATGAATATATTTGGATTTCTACTGGGACTTCTTTTAAACTTTCAGACAGGTAAGACAATATATCAGAAAAGGTACATGCGAAAATTCTGGTAGCAACGAGTAGTTTTTCAATATTTTTTTTACATTTCTTATCGCTGTTGTGTGACAATTTTGATCGATTTACCCGGAGCTCCAACATTCTTAGGAAAACGTATGGATACATATAATATTGTTTTTATTATTTGATTGGTTGATATTTACATATGGATTGTTTTGATTACCAAATCTGGAAACAGAAACGTTATATAGTAACATTTGAGTTCATCAAACTTTCCATCTAGCAACTTGTAATTTTGTCAAATGTAGGAACCCCACTAAAAAGTTTCCCGAATGACTTCTATCTTTTGTACATTGTATATTATAGAAAATATTTTCCATTGTGATAATTTTTTAATATTTCTTTAAGAAATACATGTACACTATCCACTTTCTTCCACATATCACAGTGATAATTCTTGTTCCCATGGTTACTGTCTATTTGTCTATCAAACATCAAGAATCTGTTTCCATTTTGTTGTTTGACTGGTTCTCTTTTGAAGTTTGCTTCTTTTGAGGGATGTCTGCATCAACTGTAATAGCAATGAAATTATTCTTTTACTATAAAGATTCTGAAAATTATTTCTTTCCCTTGCACTTTTGTAACCTAAAGACATAAATTATCTGTACAGTGTTTGTAGATTCTAGTTATAAAAAAGATCTTTAAACCAAAATAGTTTTTATATTTTATTTATCTGTCAATCTATGCATATGCCTGTTTTTCTGTCTTTCTGTTCATTCCACAAGTTTAAACACAACCTTGTTTCTCTTACGTTTGCAGTCATTAAGGTTATTGAATTTTGCTTTTAGTCCAGTGAAAAGAAATAGCCTGTGTGTAAAATGTACCTTGAAGTTTGAAGTTCACTTTCATTGTATTTTTCTTTACCATTAGTAGATGTAAAGTATTTGTATTTCAAAGGAGTAGGTCCGGTAAGGGCCGATTTTGGCCTCAAATTTCAGGTTCATCTGACGAAAGATTTTGGACACTTTTTAAACACTTAACTGTCTATTTCAGTCGATTCAATTAGTTTATGTGAAAAATTTTAACTGAATTAGTCATTAAAAACGCTCCGATTTAAGCTTAGATATGAAAGATCTATCAAATATGACGAAAAATGGCACTTTTCAGATGGTTTTTGTCAAAAATGAAAGTGGCCGCATCCATGTTCATCCTCAACCTTTATATATGTTATGTATTATCATCAAATACAACTTACATTTCAATATTAAGAATGAACACAAATGCGGCCACTTTCATTTAAGACGGAAACCGTCTAAAATTTAACTAAAATGCTAAATTTGTGAAGATTTCAGTAATTTAGCATGACTTGATGATTCTAGTACCCAATATATGTGTATTGAATTGTCAAAAACAGCCCATATTTATGTAGCAGAAGCATTATACTTTCCATTAAATAACTAAAAGTTTACATTTTAACAATTTTGTAAAACTGCTATATTTTGGGGCCAAAAAGGGGTCTTACTGGACCTACTCCTTTGTTCTACTAGTTAATTTTCAACTTGAGCATGTGTGAACTTTGTACTCAGAATTACTATTTTCTGTTGAAATATCCATTTACTTTCCTAGTTTTATTCCTCAAAATGTTATACTCTGTTAAGATGTACAATAAGGTTTCTGAATTTTAAAGAGGTAGCTATAGGGCCAATTCCTTTTAAATTTATTGCAATCCAGTCCTTCAATCACTACTAAAGTTTACTATAATCAATGTCTTGCATCATCATACCTCCAGGTTTAACAAAACGTTGGTGTGATGCCAAACATGTTAATTATTCATATGAGGAAAGATGTATTAGAAAGTTCTGCAACTTTGACAGATTTTGGTTACGGTATCATCCAAAAAAATTAATATGAGGAAAATTCTTAACACCAATATTCTATCAATAGAAAAGCTATGAATTGTCTTTCAATTACAATTTTCCTTTCAAGGATCTAATGTTGCACATTTTACACTTTGTTATGAACATCTTTTCAGCATCTTTAGGATTTGATGTTATGTTAATAATATATATCTTAAAAAATTTTGAGGAACCAATATGATTGGTTGAACATAAAGTAGAACAGAGCATAGTCAGGGCGGGGGGGGTTGGATTTCTATTATCCCTTTTTAACTTGGATATTGACAGAAATCCTGTTATTGATTTGGGTTGGGTTACTGCAATTATTTCTGTGCAGTAACTTATGAAATATTGAACCAATGCTTAAATTTGCTTTTCATATTTTAATATGATGTTATAATTACTGATAACAAAATGGAGGTCAAATTTAATAAAGAAGACTTTAACTTTTCTGGATCTGCCAACTTTCATAATTTTATATGATAGATTTCCCCCATGAGAGGTGTTGAACTGAATTTTGAAAATTCTTTAATGTATAAACTAAACACCTCAAAACAAGCATTCAATATAAGAGAAGCATTAGGTCCTCTTGCGCTTAAGATCCTCAAAGGAGATTTTGAAAAGTTGGCAGGTATTTTTTTCACTTTTGCTGTTCAGGACTTATAGTCACTACAAACCAGGAAAGTCTGAAATGGCCTATATTTGTACTCGACTGTACTGATTTTTCTCGACCAGTCTGAATTGGTCTGAAATTTACTTGATAATACTCGACTGTAGTCTGAACCATACTTAACAGTCTGAACCTGTACTCGACCTTTACTCGACCAGTACTTAACCATTTTATTTTCATCTGAACCATGCTCGACCTAGTCTGAACCATGCTCGACCTAGTCTGAACCATACTCGACCTAGTCTGAACCATACTCGACTAAGTCTTAACCAACCTAGACCTGATTTTTGTATCTATCTATTGTATTTCATCAATTTAGTAACTGTTTTTAACAGCTATTTCCCCTGGCTAGAAATTTGAACAACAATTTGAAATTTAAAATGTATTCAATATGGCATTGAAACCAAAATTTCACAATAAACATAATATAAATTCAACACCATATTTATCAACACTTACATATATATATCACCTTTAAAATAAAAATAAAACAAGCTGATCAAATAATCTCAAAACTGAATTGTGACTAATATTTTCAATGTTATTCAAATTTTTTTGAATGTTTCAGATATATTTTATGGTTACTGGACAATTTTCACCATTTACTTAAGCCTTGTATAGATTTATGGTGTCAGTTGATTTTTAATAATATTCATTATACCTACCAGTGAAAAATGACATTTATTTAATTAGAATATAATTCACGTTAACTAGTTCTCATCGCAAACATCTAGGTGATCTAGAAATAAAAACATCCCTAGGATGTCCGATCACCCTACCTGTGTTACACACCCCAATACAGGTAAATATACAGGTATTCTAATCAGTTTTAATTTTTGCGAGCTAGCGAACAGATGTTCTCGTCGCTGCAAAGTTTTCAACAAAATTAGTAATTTAGTTTTTTTCTATTGAAGACTTCTTTAAATAACATAGTATTATTACTATATCGTTAAATTTGAAAATTTAAAATTATTTGAGTATGGATTCCGATCTCGAGATGCACGAGAATTCGGAAGTAAACAAAGATGCGCCATCTTTACCTGCAAATGAGAAAAAAGATGGTTCAATGTCCAGAAATGACAAGAATGGTAAAGCTAAGAAAAAACCTTCTAAGTCGACGGTATTACAACAAGAGTATGAACAAAAGCTAAAAGGTTTGCAAGACAATTTTGATAATAAGTTTGAGACTTTATTTAACATGATGCAATCGTTGGCCAATGTTAGAGGGGCTAATAACGATAATGTAGTTCAGAATAGGGATACACAAGGTATGCCCATATCTGAAACTAATGCAGATTCAAGGGGTCAGAATAGAGATACGCAAGGTTTGCTCAGATCTGACACCCCTAGACCCATTATTCCGCTAGTTTCGAATCTAGACGAGGATTTGGGTTCTCCTAGAGTGTCTAGGAACACAGATTTCGACGCAAGGTCGGAAATATCTATACATGTTAACCCTATAGAAAGGGATATACTCGGAGATATTCGCTCTGATAATGAGTCAGACAATGAGAGCGAAGCTAGAGTTGAACAGTCAACAGGTAGTGTTGCTAGAAAAGGTGAAAGGTTTATGAAACATGTACAGTTAAAATCTGTTTCAAATGAAGTAAACAAAGATAGTGAGTTAAGCTCAGATACTAGACATAATGTTTTGTCAGAATTGTTTAGTGAGGATTTTGCCTCAAACAATGATAAAGGTAGTGTTGGTTTGATTATGGATCAAGCACAAGTCAATATTTTGGAAAATTCCTGGCGGTGTCAGCACCCAGAGAAACTTTCTGCTTATAGAGAGGAATACAGGAGTTGTTTTCCTGTACATGATAGTGCTATAGAGTTCTTGCAGGTTCCTAGTTTGGACGACTTGCTAGAGCCAATGATGAGAAAGAACCATGGGCCAAAGGCAGTAAAGTCGTGGGATACTGGCCATAGGCAATTGCATACACAGCCTTTAAAACAAATAGAGAAGCTTTCTTTTCAAGGGCAAATGGCGTCTCGTATGAATGTGATTTCTGGCATGTATATGCAACAGACAATGGGTACACTGCTTGGGAAGCTTGAAAATTCTCCGTCTTTAGAACACGAGGAGAAAGAATCATGTTGCCAAATTGTTAAAGATTTGTTTGCAATGTCTACAAAGTCTTTAGACCAGTCAGGTAGGACTGGTGCATTTTTTCATTTAGTCCGACGTAAGGCTGCATCATATGATTCAGGTCTTGTGACTTTGTCTGATATTAAAGACAAAACACAATATTTGCCTTTATCAGGTGAAGGTGTTTTTGGGAATGGTCTTAAGTCATGCCTTGAAAAGCGCAAGGAACAAAAGGATCAGTTGAATGATTTATTACCTGAATTAGGTCAGGGTAGGAAAAGAAGGGCAGATTTTGACCGAGATTGGCAAAATAAGAATCCCAAGTTCAATGTTGAGCATAATGCTGTTAATGCCAGTAAGACTCGAGGCTCAAATAACAATAGGTTCAATGTGCCTAAAACATCAAATAGTGGGAGACAGCCACAAAGAGACAATCAAGGCTATAAGGGTCCTGCTAAAGAGTCAAATAGGGACAAGACCAACAAGACTGGTCAGAGTAGCTGGGGGTCTTTTCGGATCCCCAGAAAGAACAACAGTTGACTCAAAGGTAGGTTCAAGTTTGATGATGTGTACAGAGATTCCGGTAGGGGGGCGGCTAAAATATTTTCTTCAAAATTGGAAAATGATAACAACAGATCAGTGGGTACTTTCAATAATAGAGGAAGGTTACAAATTGGAATTTCTTCAAAGACCTGCATGGACAGGCATCAAGAAAACAATAATATCTCACAAAAACACAGATATATTTTTGGCAGAAATAAATTCTTTATTAGAAAAGGATGCTATAGAAAAAGTGAATTTTCCGGAATCTCTCACAGGTTTTTACAGTACACTATTTCTGGTGCCAAAGAAAAACGGGAAAATGAGACCCGTGACAAATTTAAAACCATTAAATGCACATCTAAAGAAAGTCCATT